TACATTTCTCATTGTCTCACCCAACCCTTCTCCTGCAGAGCCCATTTCATAGTCAAAAAAGAGGTATAGACTCGCAGTTAAGAGAGCTCTTTTCACATCTTTCAAGGGGAAAAAATTGAAACGGTTAGGATTTATATAACAATTAAGTCATTCGTTCCATATTTTCACATTATCTAACATTTACTAGTACTTTTCTTTTTCTTCTATTTTGCATGTGTTTAAGTGATGTTGCAACTAAAAAGAAATACGAGGAAACTCTTGCTGTGAAGACCGTAGAAGAAAATATGTCAGATTCTGACAATTTACCAATTATCAGTCTGAAGAAGAAACTAGCCCAAAGCAATTCCAAAACCACCTCTGCTACCTCCAAAATAGAGTTTGTACTCTTTCCTTTACAATTCATTCATCATCTCACTGAAATCCACATTACATGCATAGTATTTCATTGTTCATAGCTTCTCAATTTCTCTATATTAAGCAGTAGTTGATTGTGTTGAATTTGGGGAAAGTTTCTTTTTCTCATAATTCTCTTCAATTACGATTCGATTACAGAGAAAATTTATCAGCTCTTCTTCTAAAACATGATTTTTCCCAAACATCTTTTACGACGCAATTAGTTTGGATTCTTTTGGTCCAAAACAAGAGCCAGTATGTTTGATTTTAAAGGTTCTGTACTACATTAATTTTTGTAGTTCACTGAAGTGATATACGTATATTTCAATTCTTCCCAATTCTAGTATTTAGTTGCTGCAATACTGCTCAACTTAATTTTCATTGTTATGATTCGTAGCACAAAGTCAAACCACACATATATTTTATTTTCTTATTTTCACTAGAACTTTGTTATTTGTCTGCTCTGACAGCTACCATTTTTCCAATTTGTAACAAAGAAGTGAAAATACCTGCACACGAGAAGAAAGAAGAAAAAACACCTATGCAGCAAAGCCAACCTGAAGACATCAATGAAAAACCAAGAACCAGTAAAGAGAGAAGTTCTGCCACCATCATTGTGTAACGTGTTATTTATCTATCTATTGCAACAGTTGTAATAGTTTTTTAAACACTAATTCACGTACATAACATGTTACTCATCTATCTTTTGTAACTTAAACTTTCACATGTATGTAAATAATATTGTGTTTCCTATATGTTTTTACAACTTTTTACGTATATTATACAGTTTTAATGCCCGCGACATCGCTCGGATACCTTTTCTAGTTATAATAAAATGGCCGCCCCTAACATATTCGGAGATCATCCCAGTAGCATATACAGCCCCAAAAAATCAATTTAATATTCCATTTCAACAAATAGTCACAATGAAATCGCAGTCATCAAATGAGTGCTCAATATATAACTTTGCCACTAAATCATTTCTTTTTTAAAATAAGAAAGAAAGAAATAAATAATCTCAAATTGGAAGTGAATTTAACACAGCGAGAATGTTGCCGGACTCGTAGCCGATCTTTTGGCCTAGTCCCAAATTAAATAAAACAAAAGGCTGAGTAGCATTTTCGCTTAGGCAAATAAGATGATTAGCCAAGACAAATATGTTTAATTTTTTTTCTTTCATTTTTATCTTGCAAACCATTTTAGTGGCCACGTGGCCCTTCATGGATGGGTTTCTCAAAGGACTTTTGTACTGGTCCATTTAGCCTCGGGTGTCCCATTTGAGACAAGATGACAATCATGTTCATGTCTTGACTCAAAAAGCAAAACTTAGGATAAATATAAACTGTACTTTATGTATCTAAATTCCATATCATATGATTAATTAAATCACTCGGTTTTGTTTTGTTTGTGAAAAACAACAGCAAGAGATTGCTTCGCAAATCTAACCTCAGCTTGTGAATTGTGGTCAGGAGGGACAATATCCTGTCTGATGATGAAAGCTCATCTTTTGGTCCGCAAAGCTTTTTATGCACAAGGAAATGGTTTTCATGGATAGTGGGTCTAAGTTCATAGATTATGCAACTTTAAGATTAATTTGTCTGTAAAAATGATCTGTGTATTTCTTCTTTTTACATTAACAAGGAATGGGGAAGTCACGAATTTGGGAAGTTCAGAATTTGGGAATAAGCGGAATTGGAATCGGATCAACTATTTGAACACTCATATTTTTTGATTATGCATGTGTAAGTAAACGCATGAGAAATAAGGAATTGGAATCACTCCAATACCCATGTGTTGGTAAACACAAGGGAAGAAGGAATCAAATTGATTTCCATACCATTACTGATAAGTAAACATGCCATAAGAGTTCTTTGATACAACTAAGGTTTTTTCGTGTTTTCACATGAAACCCTATGAGGTTTCGGAAATTACACTCTCAAAAAAAAGCTAGCTAAGTATTTGATTTAGTTTCCTTCAAGTTACCACTAATCAAGGTTCATTAGCACACAGTAGGCAAATTAGAAATTAGAAGAGCAAACCATATATTTGATTGACAATGAGAGATTGAGAGAGCTATGTATGGGATCCGACAGAATCCCCTTAACCACGGAGGCCATTTTTGGAGAGTTTATTTAGTGATACAACAGGACGCGAGTTATTATAATGTGCAGTCTACTTAGTAAATTTTATTAGTAGTTTTAAGAAGGTTTCAGACATACCTTATACTCATCCCACCATTAAAGATTACGTTTATGGAAGCTTTGCTAGAGGTCTGCACACCTTCATTTTTCCCCCCTTTTTATGTCTCTGCTTATCCCTCTTCAATTTAATTGTTCTGCAAGCCGGCTAGGCCTTCGACTTACACATTGCTTCTGTCGGCCTTCGACTTACACATTGCTTCTGTCATTTGAGAGAGAGAGAGAGAGAGAGAGAGATGGTTTACATTTGGAGTGATCAAGAGGTGAGTGGTTTTTCATTTCAATGTATTAGAATTGGTGCATCTATGCATTTTCATTTGTTGTTTACAACAATATTTACTGGCTTTTCATGTTTAATGGCAAGAATTTGGCTGGAGCCTCCATGAGCGGCGTGGTCCAGATTTATGTTCAGTTTATCCTTGGTGCTTTTGGCAGAAAGTCAGATTTAGTTTAAAAGTTTTCCCCAACTGGCTGTACAATTTGATGCATTTGTAGTGTTAAAGATTAATTATATCACACAGAAAATACAGCAATATTTCTGAGAGCAATAAAGGATATGAATTATAATTCTTGCTGCTCTTGAAACACTTCATGTCAGTGTATTTATGCATGTTCCAAATAAAGTGAAGGCCTGTTTTGTATAATTTTCAATGATTCATAAAATGGACATTTGGAGTAAATGATCATGGTTAATGATTGATTTTCATTGGAACTTCTGTTGCATGCTTATTTGGGCTCTTTGTTCTCTGACAGAGTGTTGATGAACTGAAACACAAGCTTCTCTGCACCAATTTTGAACTAGAATCAGCAAAGATGATGGCAAAAGAGGAGGTAAGCAAAAATGAGGAGATCATAAAGCAGTTATATGAACTCTTGAAGGCTGCTTGCCAAGAAAGAGATGAAGCAAGAAACCAGTTGCAAAAGCTAATGAATGAGTTATTGCCATCCACACCAGCTGATCAAACCACTCATATCCTCTCATCACAACCCAATAATGAAAACCCAATTCCCCAAAAAACCACAAACCCATCAATGCTAAAAGAATCAGAAGCTCTTCTTCCCCAAACATACAATTTCCATGTTTATGGTTCATATCCCACAAACTGCAACTTGGGTTCTATCTCTCTCCAAGGCCTGCCTAATGCAAACTTTGCTGATTCAAGTAACTTGGCTCTGCCAAAAAGGCCTGTTGCTCAGGAATGTGGCTCCAAGTTTGATTGTGCTTCTGTTCTAATTGATAACATTGCTAGAGTGAGACCATTGCCCAAGAAAGGAAGACTGATGCAGGCTGTCATGGATACTGGTCCTTTACTTCAAGCACTTCTTGTTGCACCTCTTCCCAAGTGGAAAAATCCACCCACTCTCATCTATGGAGGTGATGATTGTGGCTCATTAATAGAGCAGAGATTAGAAGCAGTCGAGTCGATTTGCCCAACGCAGAGTTCATCGAGTGGTTCTGCTTCATTCCTTGATAGTTCACCCGGCTTTTCTCAGATACCATCTTCTTCTGTGTTGAACTTTGCACGTGGCTCTGCTTGTTTGAACAATGGCCTGCAATTTCATGTTGGAAACAATACAGATGCCATGCAGTATCAGATTGCAACTGGTAAACGAAGAAGGTTCTGATTGAGAGTTGGAGATCCTTTTTCTGTTGTTTAACAATAAGTATACATAGACTTTGGTGACTGGTGTAAATGATAACTTTGGTTTATGAATAAAGTTGTGACTTTGGTGATGGGTGTAAATCCAATCTTGATTTCTGAATAAAATCATAACTATGTAGTTTTTGGACTTGATTAGGATTTCATAGTTGGTCTGTTAATCCTTGAAATTCTACTTAACGAGACCTCATTATGAAAAGTAAATTTTCTCCAATTGGCAATCAAACTAAAGGAACACTCCAAGCCCAAACCATTTGCTCTCTTGAAAGAAAAGCATTTTGTTTTTGTTTTAAAATGTTTCTATATGTCAATTTGTTAGAGAGGATAAATTCTTGGGTCCGCGTGTCGAATCACATAGATTATTCAAGGACACAAGAATTTATCATAAAATGAAAATTAATATAAGGGTGTGCATCAATCCAACTGAACCGATTAAATTGACTAATCCAAATTGTAATTACCGGGTTGATTTGGTTTTGACCAAGAATTGCAGTTGACCCCCATTGTCACTTCATGTATTTAACTGTTGCTTCACCACAATTGGGCCAAATTTGCATTTAACCCCCATTGTTTAAATTTTTTAAAAATTAAAAAAAAAAACTAACCTAAAGCTTTCAAACACTTGAAGTTACATTTCTTGGGCTAACCCAATATGCCTTTTACGCATGGCTGTTTGATACCCAAAAGTACCTGCCCAAACACAGACAAATGAATTCAGACCAAAAAAAAAAAAAAAAAACACAGACAAATGAAAACCATACTATGTAGGCCTCCTGTCTTTCTTTTCCTACAAAGGAAAGCTCACACTTTGGCTGGTGCCCTTCTTACTGAAACCCAGAAGGCTCATGCCCATGGCCTTCAACTCGGTACCTCGGATGCATTCTTCCATGCACGCCAGTTGTTCGACGAAACGCCTGACTTGAGCGTGGTATCGGCCACGTCAATAATAGGCAGCTTTGCTCGGCAGCACCATCATGAAGAAGCTATTTATCTCTTTTCAAGAATGCTTCTTTCGAATATCAGACCCAACGAATTTACATTTGGCACTGTCATTCACTCGTCAACTGCACTTGGAGACCTAAACATAGGCAAGCAACTTCATGCATTTGCAACAAAGATAGGTTTGCATTCGAATGTCTTTGTGGGAAGTGCAATGTTAGATCTTTATGCCAAGTTGGGCATTACCCAGGATGCTAAAAGAGCTTTTGAAGATACCCAGAAGCCCAATGTAGTTTCTTACACCACATTGATATATGCATACCTGAAAAAGGAGAAGCTTGAAGAAGCTTTGAAGCTTTTCCAAGTGATGCCAGAGAGGAATGTTGTTTCATGGAATGCAATGATTGGAGGGTATAGCCAATCAGGCCACAATGAAGAGGCTGTCAATCTATTCATTGAGATGCTTAGAAATGGGTTGGTACCTAACCATTCTACTTTTCCTTGTGCTATCATTGCAACTGCCAATATAGCAGCACTAGGAATGGGCAGAAGTTTTCATGCCTGTGCTGTCAAATTCTTGGGTAAGCTTAATGTGTTTATTGGCAATTCACTAATAAGCTTTTATGCAAAATGTGGTAGCATGGAAGATAGTCTCTTGGTTTTCAACAAAATTGAAGAAAGAAACATTGTTTCTTGGAATGCTGTGATATGCGGCTATGCTCAAAATGGTAAAGGAGAAGAAGCAATAAGCTTTTTTGAAAGGATGAGGTTGTCAAGTTGCAAACCCAATAGTGTTACACTTCTTGGCTTATTGTGGGCTTGCAACCATGCTGGTCTTGTTGACCAGGGTTATTCTTATTTCAATCAGGCAAGAATTGAAGACCCCAGCATTCTGAAGCCTGAGCACTATGCTTGTATGGTTGATTTACTCTCCCGGTCCGGGTGTTTCAGAGAAGCTGAGGAGTTTATCAGCAATTTGCCTTTTGAACCAGGTATTGGGTTTTGGAAGGCATTGCTTGGTGGCTGCCAAATCCACTCAAATATGGAATTAGGGGAGTTTGCAGCTAGGAAAATATTGGCTTTGGATCCTGAAGATGTGTCATCATATGTAATGTTGTCCAATGCACATTCTGCAGCTGGCAGATGGCAGAGTGTGGCAACAATAAGGAGAGAAATGAAAGAAAAAGGGTTGAAGAGGGTTCCAGGCTGCAGTTGGATAGAAATCAGGAACAGAGTTCATGTATTTGTTTCTGGGGATAAAAACCATCACCAAGTGAGTGAAATGTTATCTTTATTGAAAATTCTGTATAGAGATTTTAAGGGAGAATAAATCCAGACAAGGAGAAAATGCCATTGATGATCTCTATATGTAGCTGGAGCCAACCTTGAGATGAGGGAGACCAACTTTCAAGGCCCCAATGAAGCTAAATGGGGTGAGGCCAAAAGTGCTCTTCTGGCTGTTTAGAGGAAAGTAGAATGAACTTGGTAAAAATAATCTGGGAAAGGAGATGCTCAATCAATTACAAGGCCTCTAAGTTCTTGCAATGAAACAGCAGATTGGTTCAAGTTTTGATTTTTGGTCGGTTTGTTGTGCTTTTACATCAGCTAATTATGTTCCCCTGGCTAAATGCATCATCAGCCAGAATATGGAGAAATTATAGATGTTAACATGTTTTTCAAATTAGTGGGCATGATATGTTAAAAGAAAAATTAATGAATTCAAATGATATATCAAAAGAGTTTATTACAGAGGCTTTTTTCTGGATACAACCGATAATACTAATCTAAACAACGGGTAAGGGGATATGAACTTGGATATGGAGTGGAGTCTAACCAACTTCGCAAAACCCATGTATATTGATTACAAATACTTTCAACTAGTAATTTTCATCTCAAAATCTTAGAACATTGAAATTATTTAATAGCAGAAAGATTTATTTTGACATTGCCTTGCATTCAATATCCAGATGACTGATTAAAATCCATATCTCATTTTACTGGTTTGATATTTTGTTTACCCTTTTGCAAATTAAAAAAAGAAAACAAGGGAAAATTGAAAGATCAAAATTCAAAAGAGCAATCCGCTCAAAAAAATTTTTTTTTTTTTAAAAAAAGCACAAAACATTGGGCCTATTTTCAAGGGTTCAATCAAAAGCCCAAAAATAATAAAAAGCGAACATGCGCGTGGCCTCTCACGGGTCCGCAAATCAACACGTGTCAGATGACCGCAGTGGGAAGGCGCACACGAGACACTACATTAACATATAACCGGTCGGGCGGTCCCCGCACGCGCCTCAGCAATCAAAAATCTGTGGGACCCACGTTTCCAACCCATAGTGAGAAATCGCACCGTCATCGAATCATTCCCAGTTAACCAGGGTTAATTCCGTCCCATGGTTTAGAGCTTCAGATCCAAGATTAGGGTTTCAGAGCTTACCCTTATCAATTTCCCCCAAAATCCTATCTCAATTTCATCCTTTCAATTCTCAGAACCCTATTTAGGTACTGAATTTCTGATTCGTTATAATTTTCGATCGCTCTGGAGAGAATCCTTTTTGTTTAAGGAGCAAAACAAAAATTAGGGGAAGAATGGAGACACAGAGGATAATGGAGTTTCCTCACAAGAATATGGATAAGCGGCCCAGAAAGAGGCCTCGATTAGCATGGGACATGCCCCCTCCTCTTCCTCCTCCTGAGGTTCGTCTATCTTAATTTTCCAAATTTTGTTATCTATTCACAATCCCTGGTCAATTTCCCAAACTTTTTGTTTTTTCTGTAATTTTTTGAATTCTCACGGTTAACAGCTTTTTTTTATTCATAAGTTTCATTCAGAATAGATTTGTAGAAAGTCTCAATCTTGACGATTTCTTGAATTTTTGGGCTTTAGGGACATAATAAAACGTTATTCTTGAATTATATACATGTATGTGTAATTTGATTATGCTTTATATGTTATGCAGCTGTTCCCAGCAATTTACTGCGGGCAGGAGTTTGGGAATGGGCCAATCCCCAATTACACCTATACGTCTATGTTTTATGGGGGGTTGCCACGCAATGCTTCCCCTCCGTGGAGACCTGATGATAAAGATGGTCATTACGTGTTCGGCATCGGAGAAAATTTAACCCCTCGATGTAAGTTTCTCTAACCATTACAGCTCTTGTTCTATGTAACTAGGTACGTCATGTTCAGATTTGGATGTACATGATTGTTTGGCTCTTAATTCATTCATATTTGCAACTATGTGTGGTTATTTATGCATTAGATCTTGGTATTCAAGTTTTCTGTTCATTATTTATGGATTGACTTTTCGTTATCATTTAAGCTTATTATTTGTTCACTAATTCATACCTTTTGCTTATCATACTTGCAGACAGAATTCTCAGCAAAATGGGAGAGGGTTGGTATTCTTGCTTTCTTGGGAGTAAAGTTCACCTTCAGCTAGAAGGGGTACATATCTCTTTTCAATTCCTCAGAATTATTTTAATATCTTGGCTATGACTTTTCTAGGAACTTTTGGGCAAGTGTTAGAGTGTATTGACAATGAAAAGAAAGAAGTTGTGGCAATCAAAATTGTCCGCTCCATACATAAGTATCGTGAAGCTGCGATGATTGAAATTGATGTCCTACAAAGGCTTGGAAGGCATGATATTGGTGGCACTCGGTAAGGATACTTTATTTTCTGTCTTTCTCTTTGGTGGTAGAAGTTTGCGATGTTAGTATAAGTGGTTTTATTCTTTGCAGTTGTGTGCAAATACGGAATTGGTTTGACTATCGTAATCATATTTGTATTGTAAGTATTTATTGGTACTTCTGATTTAATTAGTTTAGAGGGGCAATATATGTTACTTCATGCCTGAATTTTCTGTGAGTTAAAAAAACTTGCGGATGGATTTAAATGGTTTCAACAGGTATTTGAGAAGCTTGGACCTAGCTTATACGATTTTCTTCGCAAAAACAGCTACCGTTCATTTCCCATTGATCTTGTTCGGGAGCTTGGCAGACAACTTTTGGAGTCTGTAGCATGTGTGTGGACAATTCTTGCACCATTTTATCTAAATTCATTCAACTTGATGCTCAAACTGTTTTAAGTGTAAAGCTGAATTCTGGCCTTCTGGGCATGATATTTATTTCCATCTTCAATATTATAAGGAGAACATAATTATTGTATGTATAGCATGTAGTTGATGATAATAATGGCAGCTAATTCCCTGCTTTTTGACTTGTCTGCTGGTTTATTTTTGCAGTTATGCATGATTTACGCCTTATACATACTGATCTGAAGCCAGAAAATATTCTGCTTGTTTCATCTGACTACATCAAAGTGCCAGACTATAAGGTATTGTTTACTAAATCATGCTTTTGGTCTCTTAGCATCTTCTGTGTTTGTGCATTCACACGCAAGCAGACCTTGGAGAGGGCATATGGGTTATCTGATTCAACAATGTTGTGGGTTTTGTCATGTGTTTGATTATTTTGTGCCTCATTATAGTCTAATATATCCCTCATGCACGGAGTTGCAACAGCATTTTCTGTTTCATTCAGCAGTTCTTAATTTTTAGACTTAGTCTAAGATGTCCAGCAATTTGGTACAGCATCAGTTTAGGTTTCATTTTTTTACCCAAGCCATCTTCAGATCTTGTGTTTTTTTTAATTGTGGTAATTAGTAAAGATCAAAGTCCTGACACTTCACCCTTTTCTTTTCTTAACTGGAATCAAGTTTCTCTCACGGTCGACTAAAGAGGGTTCCTATTTCAAGAATCTGCCCAAGTCAAGTGCCATTAAGCTCATTGATTTTGGGAGTACAACATTTGAACATCAGGATCACAGCTATGTGGTGTCAACACGCCATTATCGTGCACCGGAGGTTATTTTGGGTAAATACAATTCTAGGCTACTCAAGTGACATCTTGGGTTTGCATTTGTAGATAACAGTCATCTGACGTTATATGCAGGTCTTGGATGGAACTATCCTTGTGATATCTGGAGTGTGGGTTGCATACTTGTTGAACTTTGCTCTGTAAGTACCATTGAGTTCATATGGCCGAGCATCTAAAATTGAGTCATTTTCACTTAAAGTTACAATTGAATTTGTGTTTCGTAGGGGGGGGCAGAATATTTTGTTGACATTTGTCTTGTTTTTCAACAGGGTGAGGCCCTATTTCAAACGCATGAGAACTTGGAGCATCTTGCCATGATGGAGAGGGTTTTGGGGCCACTACCACAGCATATGGTGCTCAGAGCTGAGTAAGACACTTACTGTGCATAATCCCCTTGTTTTGTATTTGGCATGGAGCTCTTATATTGTGCCCAATTTTTGCAGTCGTCGTGCTGACAAATATTTTAGAAGGGGAGCACGACTGGATTGGCCTGATGGAGCAACTTCTAGAGAAAGCATGAGGGCAGTTTGCAAATTGCCCCGGTTACCGGTAATGATTCAGAACTTAAAAAGTTGCTATCTTATTTATGCCAATAATGTAACACCCACGCATATAAAATACAAGTTTAATCTGTCCTTGGATTTTTAATTAAGTGCTTGCAGACTTACTTTATTGTTATTTTGAACCATCCGTTGCAGAACCTAATAATGCAGCATGTGGACCATTCTGCTGGAGATTTGATTGAACTCTTGCAAGGGCTCCTAAGATACGAGCCAGCGGAGCGTCTCAAGGCAAGGGAAGCACTAAGACATCCCTTTTTCACTAGAGATATGAGAAGGGGTGGCTACCCCGTGTAAATCAACGATCCTCATCTATCAGTCATGCGCATGAGCTCTTAGAAAGCCTGAAAGATATAAAATGAGTGAAACGAGTCGAAATACAGATGTGGGTTTTTGATTGTACGATTGTTTCTGTATAGTAAAGTTTACCCCATCCCTTCCTCCCTTTACCTGCCCATCAATGTCTTATACTGGTTGTCTTCTTCTATAGCCATAGCTTCTGGTTTGTTTTTATGATTTACGCTGAGAAAATGCGTGACCATAAAAATCATGACTTAAAATGTTGTTTGTGTCCATATGCCGTTCTTTTCTTACCCAACTTCAAATGCATCAATAGGCAAAGTGGGATTCTCTGGTTAGCCTTAAAATAACCTATGGTGAAAACGACTGAGATGGGGTGAGCGGTCAAGGACTGAATTTACTGATGTAAATTTTCTAGTTTACTGACCCAGCTCATAAGGTTTCATTTCAAAGGGGTTTACTTCTAAAACTCCACTTAAGGCCTCCTGTTTTATTTTAATTTGGCCAGTTGTTTGAAGTTTAAGAAAATGCATGCTGATTAAACTATTGCTAATCTTTGTTTGTTTAGACTTTAGAGCAGATGAGCATTTGATATTGAAGGTACCAACAGAGTTGTTGAAAGTAACAAACCGTGAACCAACAGCAGAGCAGACCATGTCATTATCATCTCGAGCTGTAATTGCACTAACCAATATTATACCATCTATAAATTTGGTTTTGCCGAAATTCTAAGCTGGCGTCGAAGATTAAAGTCCACAATGCAATCATGTGACAAAGCCATTTGACATGCATGTGTTCACGATGTAATCTTTAAATAAGTTTATTTTCGAGATCTCTCGATAAAGAGTACGTCT